GCAATAGAGGTCTAAGCTATACAAAAATTTCAAAGTCAAACGTTCTCAACAGAAAAAAAAAAAAACAATTATAGAAATCGTCGCCTGAGAGATTCGAACTCTCGCGGGGAAACCCCATGTACTTAGCAGGCACACGCCTTAACCACTTGGCCAAAGCGACACATGTTTTAGGCAATAGAGGTCTAAGCTATACAAAAATTTCAAAGTCAAACGTTCTCATTAACATAAAAATGAGAAATCAAGAAAGAACAATTATAAATCGTCGCCAGAGAGATTCGAACTCTCGCGGGGAAACCCCATGTACTTAGTGTCACGGTCCTACATTCTTGACCGTGCGGCGTCGTGATCAATACACGCTCACGACCAGCCTTAAGGGGAATTAAGCCCCATTATATTTTTCGCCCCGACTTTGTGGCTTTGTCGGACCTTAGGCGAGGTTTGCCTTCGCCAATCGAACATCGCTTGTGCGGAATCCAAGCTTGTTCAACCACACACGCTGCCTGTGCGTGTATGTTCAATCATCTGCGACACATCCGACTTGCCTCTACGCTAGGCCAACCCATTCGGCTCGACCTTGCCTCTGCTCGGGCCAAGGTCTCTCAATACAACGTCGCATCTCATCTTGCCACCTCGATCCCCATCGACAGGGTCCATATGTCTTGACGCCATCCCGAGTCTCGGGATGTCGTCGCTCATCATAACTCGTTCGGTCATGCCATCGAGAATGGGCCCACGTGTCGTTCATCTCATCGGGACTTCCCGAACATCCATCCATCCAGGTTCTATCAAGGCATAGGTCCTCCCGTGCCCATGCCGAGTCATTTGCGGATACCGTACCGGATAGCGGGTGTATGTAGCAACCTCCGACACGCGAGCTAGGGTGCAATACCGGCACACCTGTGCCGTCTGGTACTGTCCTTCAAAAACCCATTTCAAAGGAAGTCGCCCCGAGACACTCGTCTCGGCACGCTCGCCCACAATGTGACACACGTATGTGCCACAGGGTAGCTCACTTAGGCCACAGGGCCCAGGGGTGGCGGAGAGCTAACACCATGGTACCCCTATAGTACATTTTGAGCCATTTTCATTCTACTAGGAGTAGACATGATTTTCGTGAGGTGTCATACGGTGTCGTGCATTGTCCGTCCAATGTCCGATTGACACCAAACTTGGCGAGCATTCATATTTCATATGGACGGACTTAACTCCCGAACCGCATAACCAAATTCCTTCCGAAACCTCGACTTTTGAGGTTAAGGCCCGGGGCCCTACCCGGCCCTTCAACAAGCCTATCTTGTCCTTCATGTCTATGCTGATGTCTCTGTTATGCTTGTGTCTCAACATGTCTNCGAACCGCATGACCAAATTCCTTCCGGAACCTCGACTTTTGAGGTTAAGGCCCGGGGCCCTACCCGGTCCTTCAACAAGCCTATCTTGTCCTTCATGTCTATGCTGATGTCTCTGTTATGCTTGTGTCTCAACATGTCTTCAATGCCCACTTTGCGTGGTGGTGTGTTGGATGATGCATCGTCCTCCTCGATCGCATCATGGCATTCTTCTACGTTGGCCCGCATATGGCCGGATGGGCGTCTCTTGAGGGACGCCCCTTTGCTTGTCATGGCATGAGGGTCACAACCTACTCTCTTCATAGTAAGGTTGTGACATCCTCCCCCACTTAACTTAGTCATCGTCCTCGATGACTTACTCGGGTCACAATCATATTGCGGATTGTGACATTCTCCCCTACTTGATTTAGTCATCGTCCTCGATGACTTTCTCGGGCGCGTTCGCCCCACCTATTGTGAAGTTCTCCCCTACTCAATCTCGGCATCGTCCCGATGACGATCCGACTCTTTGTCTGTTGGCGACTTGACTCGCTGGATTTGGTTGTGCTTCAGAAAAATCTTCTATTGTTGAGCACCTGACGATCTTTTGTCATAATGCTCTCCCTGCTGACGTCTTATGCCAACTTGGGACAAGTTCGAGTGGATGCTTCTGACTTCTCTTTTGTCAGGTGGCACCACGTTCTGACTCTTGACTTGGTCAGTTGTTGGGTGAACTTGTCCTCACTTAGGCTTGTTCCTTTATCTATGGCTATCCCCATTCGGACCTATTTCTGTTGTTCGCCCATCTTGGACTCGGCCACCGAGACTCGCAACGTAGACGTGACTCTTCAGCGTTTGCCATAGTTGTGGGTGAGGCTGACTCTCTTTGCAGACACTCACCAGACAAGTATGGACTTCAGAGGGCACTTTTTGCCCTATTTTGGCCAACTTGGCCCCAGTGTGTGCATCCTCTTTGGATCACATAAACTAGTGCACCCCTCGGGGTGGGGCTCGCAAGCCCAGCCGCGACACTCTTTGGTTGCGACCACTTCTCCTATGAATTAATTCACCCCTTGGGGTGGGGCTCGAAAGCCCGGCCGCAACACTCTTTGGTTGCGACCACTCCTCCTATTGAGCAAAGTCAACTCTTTGACAGTCTCTTCAGTTGTTGGCGTTAACTTTCGGCCAACTCTTTGTATTTTGTCACATCGTGTGACTATTGTTGTGCTTGAACTTCCAGCTTGTTGCTCACTTCTCGAGCGGATACTAGTCTTGACATCTGTTGGTGGAGTCATCCACCCTAGGCACAAGGTGGTGACTCAAGGAATACACGTGTGCTCGTATGTCCGAGCACCTTTACGGGGTGAGAGACTTATTGATGTTGCTCTCCCCCGCTCGAACTCAGCTGCCTCTTTGCAGCAAGGTCGTCCCCCCATAAGGACTTACATTGTATACGGCTCTTGCACTCGGCCGACGTTTGTCTGTTCTTGGCTCTCGGCTTCTCTGCTTGCAACCACTAACACTATTCCCCCAATGTGAATGGTTCTTTGGAAGGCACCGTCATGGTGCTTTCTGTTTCATCTATCTTGTCTACTTCGAAACTGCAAACTCTTCTCAGGTGAGCTTGGTTTTTTTTTGCTTGACGAGTAGATCTTCCCATATTGAGGTGTCGACACACGACACTAATGAATTTCGGGTAGTCTTGGCTTCAACCCCCAACTGATTATAATTCTGACCGGCAACTGCCCTGCCCACTACGGCACTCTTGACACACTTGCAAGGTCTTCGATCAACTCTTGGGTTTGTTTCTCTTGACTGTCTTGCCCGACTAGACACACAAAGTGTGGCTCTGATACCAACTGTCACGGTCCTACATTCTTGACCGTGCGGCGTCGTGATCAATACACGCTCACGACCAGCCTTAAGGGGAATTAAGCCCCATTATATTTTTCGCCCCGGCTTTGTGGCTTCGTCGGACATTAGGCGAGGTTTGCCTTCGCTAATCGAACATCCCTTGTGCGGAATCCAAGCTTGTTCAACCACACACGCCGCCTGTGCGTGTATGTTCAATCATCTGCGACACATCCGACTTGCCTCTACGCTAGGCCAACCCATTCGGCTCGACCTTGCCTCTGCTCGGGCCAAGGTCTCTCAATACAACGTCGCATCTCATCTTGCCACCTCGATCCCCATCGACAGGGTCCATATGTCTTGACGCCATCCCGAGTCTCGGGATGTCGTCGCTCATCATAACTCGTTCGGTCATGCCATCGAGAATGGGCCCACGTGTCGTTCATCTCATCGGGACTTCCCGAACATCCATCCATCCGGGTTCTATCAAGGCATAGGTCCTCCCGTGCCCATGCCGAGTCATTTGCGGATACCGTACCGGATAGCGGGTGTATGTAGCAACCTCCGACACGCGGGCTAGGGCGCAATACCGGCACACCCGTGCCGTCCGGTACTGTCCTTCAAAAACCCATTTCAAAGGAAGTCGCCCCGAGACACTCGTCTCGGCACGCTCGCCCACACTGTGACACACGTATGTGTCACAGGGTAGCTCACTTAGGCCACAGGGCCCAGGGGTGGTGGAGAGCTAACACCATGGTACCCCGTATAGTACATTTTGAGCCAAGCTCACTTAGGCCACAGGGCCCAGGGGTGGTGGAGAGCTAACACCATGGTACCCCGTATAGTACATTTTGAGCCATTTTCATTCTACCACAGGAGTAGACATGATTTTCGTGAGGTGTCATACGGTGTCGTGCATTGTCCGTCCAATGTCCGATTGACACCAAACTTGGCGAACATTCATATTTCATATGGACGGACTTAACTCCCGAACCGCATGACCAAATTCCTTCCGAAACCTTGACTTTTAACGTTAAGGCCCGGGGCCCTACCCGGCCCTTCAACAAGCCTATCTTGTCCTTCAAGTCTATGCTGATGTCTCTGTCATGGTTGTGTCTCAACATGTCTTCAATGCCCACTTTGCGTGGTGGTGTGTTGGATGATGCATCGTCCTCCTCGATCGCATCATGGTTGTGTCTCAACATGTCTTCAATGCCCACTTTGCGTGGTGGTGGTGTGTTGGATGATGCATCGTCCTCCTCGATCGCATCATGGTTGTGTCTCAACATGTCTTCAATGCCCACTTTGCGTGGTGGTGGTGTGTTGGATGATGCATCGTCCTCCTCGATCGCATCATGGTTGTGTCTCAACATGTCTTCAATGCCCACTTTGCGTGGTGGTGGTGTGTTGGATGATGCATCGTCCTCCTCGATCGCATCATGGTTGTGTCTCAACATGTCTTCAATGCCCACTTTGCGTGGTGGTGGTGTGTTGGATGATGCATCGTCCTCCTCGATCGCATCATGGCATTCTTCTACGTTGGCCCGCATATGGCCGGATGGGCGTCTCTTGAGGGACGCCCCTTTGCTTGTCATGGCATGATGGTCACAACCTACTCTCTTCATAGTAAGGTTGTGACACTTAGCAGGCACACGCCTTAACCACTCGGCGACACATGTTTTTGGCAATAGAGGTCTAAGCTATAGCATTCTTCTACGTTGGCCCGCATATGGCCGGATGGGCGTCTCTTGAGGGACGCCCCTTTGCTTGTCATGGCATGAGGGTCACAACCTACTCTCTTCATAGTAAGGTTGTGACACTTAGCAGGCACACGCCTTAACCACTCGGCGACACATGTTTTTGGCAATAGAGGTCTAAGCTATACAAAATTTCAAAGTCAAACGTTCTCATTAACATAGAAATGAGAAATAAAGAAGACGCCCCTTTGCTTGTCATGGCATGAGGGTAGCAGGCACACGCCTTAACCACTCGGCGACACATGTTTTTGGCAATAGAGGTCTAAGCTATACAAAATTTCAAAGTCAAACGTTCTCATTAACATAGAAATGAGAAATAAAGAAAGAACAACTATAAATCGTCGCCTGAGAGATTCGAACTCTCGCAGGGAAACCCCATGTACTTAGCAGGCACACGCCTTAACCACTCGGCCAAAGCGACACATGATTTTTGCAATAGAGGTCTAAGCTATACAAAAATTTCAAAGTCAAACGTTCTCAACAGAAAAAAAAAACAACTATAGAAATCGTCGCCTGAGAGATTCGAACTCTCGCGGGGAAACCCCATGTACTTAGCAGGCACACACCTTAACCACTCGGCCAAAGCGACACATGTTTTTTGCAATAGAGGTCTAAGCTATACAAAAATTTCAAAGTCAAACGTTCTCATTAACATAGAAATGAGAAATAAAGAAAGAACCATGTACTTAGCAGGCACACGCCTTAACCACTCGGCCAAAGCGACACATGTTTTTGGCAATAGAGGTCTAAGCTATACAAAAATTTTAAAGTCAAACGTTCTCATTATGTGAGAAATAAAAGAAAGAACAATTATAAATCGTCGCCTGAGAGATTCGAACTCTCGCGGAACCCCATGTACTTAGCAGGCACACGCCTTAACCACTCGGCCAAAGCGACACATGTTTTTGGCAATAGAGGTCTAAGCTATACAAAAATTTCAAAGTCAAACGTTCTCATTAACATAGAAATGAGAAATAAAGAAAGAACAATTATAAATCGTCGCTTGAGAGATTCGAACTCTCGCGGGGAAACCCCATGTACTTAGCAGGCACACGCCTTAACCACTCGGCCAAAGCAACACATGTTTTTGGCAATAGAGGTCTAAGCTATACAAAAATTTCAAAGTCAAACGTTCTCAAGAAAAAAAAAAACAATTATAGAAATCGTCGCCTGAGAGATTCGAACTCTCGCGGGGTAACCCCATGTACTTAGCAGGCACACGCCTTAACCACTCGGCCAAAGCGACACATGTTTTTGGCAATAGAGGTCTAAGCTATACAAAAATTTCAAAGTCAAACGTTCTCAACAGAAAAAAAAAACAATTATAGAAATCGTCGCCTGAGAGATTCAAACTCTCGGGGAAACCCCATGTACTTAGCAGGCACACGCCTTAACCACTCGGCCAAAGCAACACATGTTTTTGGCAATAGAGGTCTAAGCTATACAAAAATTTCAAGGTCAAACGTTCTCAACAGAAAAAAAAAAAACAATTATAGAAATCGTCGCCTGAGAGATTCGAACTCTCAGCGGGGAAACCCCATGTACTTAGCAGGCACACGCCTTAACCACTCGGCCAAAGCGACACATGTTTTTGGCAATAGAGGTCTAAGCTATACAAAAATTTCAAAGTCAAACGTTCTCAACAGAAAAAAAAAA